TAGTAGTAGTAGTACTAGTATAGTGGTGGTAGAATACAGTACTCGTACTACTGGTGGTGGCGGCGGTGGCTGGTGGTGGGTGCCGATGGGTGGTGGGTGTTGGTGGCTGGTAGTGGCTGGTGGTGGGGGGTGGTGGTTGGTGGGGTGGGTGGCGGGGTAATGGGTGTTGGTGGCTGCTCCTGCGTGGCGGTGGGTGGCGGCGGGGTTGTGCGTGGGTGTGGGTGGCCATAGGTGGTGGTGGGTGGTGCTGCTGGCGGTCGAGCTGGGGATGGTTTTGTGGTGCGGCAGTGGAGGTGGGGTTTGAACAATATTGGGCGGGTTACTGTAGTTAACTCAGAGTTAACTCGGAGTTAACTCAGAGTTAACTCGGAGTTAACTCGAATTAACTCGAGTTAACTCGAGTTAACTAAAGATTCTAAGCTTAGGTAATTAGGAGTTAACTCAAAGTTAACTCAAAGTTAACTCAGAGTTAACTCGGAGTTAACTCGGAGTTAACTCCAATTAACTCAACAATAGGGTTCTCACCTCCCACCCTCCAACCTCCCACCTCCTGCCCTCCCACCTCCCACCCTCCCACCTTCCACCTCCCACCTCCCACCTGTCACCTCCCACCCAGGCTTTGTGAGCATTTGGGGGCTTAGTGGTTTCGGCGTTTCAAGGCTTTAGGGGCTTAGGGATTGATAGAGTTGCGGGCGTAAGCGTGCGGGGCATTCTGGGTTTGCTAGTAGTACTAATTGGTGGTAGTAGTAGTAGTAGTAGTAGTAGTAGTAGTAGTAGTAGTAGTAGTAGTAGTAGTAGTAGTAGTAGTAGTAGTAGTAGTAGTAGTATAGTTTTAGTAGTAGTAGTAGTAGTAGTAGTAGTAGTAGTAGTATAGTAGTAGTAGTACTACTAGTAGTAGTACTAGTAGTAGTAGTAGTAGTAGTAGTAGTAGTAGTAGTAGTAGTGTAGTGTTAGTAGTAGTAGTAGTAGTAGTAGTAGTAGTAGTAGTAGTAGTATAATACTATAGTAGCAGTAGGAGTAGTAGTAGTAGTAGTAGTAGTATACTATAGTAGCAGTAGGAGTA